TGGAGCTTTAATTGTGGGATTTTTCTATTGTTTCAGAAACCCTTTTCTTCAAAACTAATTTGCTCATTGGTCCCCTAAACTCTAAAGCAGCATTTCTTAACCTGTTTTCTGCTGGAACACATGACAGGTGATGTCCATGTGCCTGTCACATTACTAGTGCAACACAGACAAGAGAGCACTGACTTATGTACAGTTTCCAGATGAGAGCTGTAAATCCACACCCATGTTCTCCAGTGGAGGAAGCACATTTAGTGGGAAATGAGTGAGAATAACTATTTTTGAATCAGCTCACATATATAAAGGATACATCAGTTGCAAACTATAGCATGAGATACACTTTATTGTTGATTCCAACACACTTGAAACTTGTAATGCTCTCTTTCTATCTTTTGTAGGAGTTTGTTTCTTCTTCCTGCTCCTAGCATCAGGTCTGTAAATACTCCTGATCAGATGTAGCTTGAGAAATGTTGACTTAACAAAGCAAACACATAAAACACCCTTAAGATATGTAACGAATCATGTTGTCAAAATGAATCAACACTTCTGTGGAGTGTCTTTCTTCCCTCCTCTCTTTCCCTCTGTCATAGCCACCAACATTTCTGAAAGTCCGTCTGTCTGTCTTCTCTTCATCCTTTCTATTTTAACGGGACTCTTGGGGATATATGAAAATGATGCCATGAACTCATAATCTGCTATTTTAGTTTTCTTTCCTGATGTAAGTTTTAGTTTTGGTCTGAGCATATTATGCTCTCCCACAGAGTAACCCTCTCATGTAATGAGCAACAACATGCATTTCCGAGGAAGCTGACTACTTCTACACCATTGCCCTTGTGCATTCACTGACCATGCACCTCAGTGCTGTTGGTTTGAAACAACCTGGCTAAGCAGCTCACTGGGCATAGTAAGAAATGGACCAATGTGCTTGACCAGTGCACACTACATTTACCAAAGCATCGTGCATTTCAAATGTTGGATCTTTCATTTTAAAGGGGATTTGGAGAAATCAAAACATGTATATTTTAAGAGAGGTACAGGCTACAACATAGGTTCTAAGAGGATATTGGTCCTGAAAAAAAAAATATATATATATATATCTCAACACCAATATTAATATCTATATATACCAATATGAATACATATCTATAAAGTGCAATTCTGTGCGTATGCATGCTTTATATTTTACGGCAGTTTTGGGTTTGCAGCAAAATTGAGCAGAAGGTACAGAGTTTGCATATGCTCCTCTACCCTTCAGCCTTGCCCATGATCAGCATCTTGCACCAGAGCAATACCTTTGTTACAGTTGATGAGATGAATCTACAGTGACACATCATTATTACCCAAAGTCCATAGTTTACATTAGCACTCACTCTTGGTGTTAAAAGTTCTATGGATTTTGACAAATATATGATGATCTGTGCCTACCATATCATACAGCATAGTTTCACTGCCCCCCAAAATCCCCTGTGCTCCTTTTTATTGCTCCCTGCCCCACCTCCCACCTCCAAACTCGTGGCACCCGCTGATCTTTTTTCTGTCTCCATAGTCTAGGCTTTTCCAGAATGTCATATAGTTGGAATCATGCAGTGTGTAGCCTTGTTAGATTCGTTTCTTTCACTCAGTAGTATGCATTTAAAGGACTGCTGGGATTATTCAGAGTATAAAAAGGGAACAATTAACATTGTTCCTATTTTACAGAGTTAAAAGGAGTTGTATATTATGACCAGCTCTAATAGACAAAGAATAAATCAATTAGGAACTACAGCATGAGATACACTTTATTGTTGATTCCAACACACTGGAAACTTGTGATCCTTCTGTAATAATTAGATACCTCCATGGGTGAAAACCAAGAATAAATTCATTGAAATTAAAATTTTAGGAAGAAACTTTCTTAACTGTGGCCACTCTTAATGTGTATATGCAGCAGAGTGTGTTTGTGTCAAAAAAAAATGCAATATGTCTTCCAAGAGTATTTGTTTCATTTGATTACCTGAAGGAAGCCATTTATATTTTAAAAAGCATGGATATCTTGTGTTGTGGAACACAGAATTTTCATTAGGCTAAAACAAGAAACTTAAAAGAAATATTGAGCTAATGGAGGACAGCTTCTGGCTAAGAGCCTACCTAGATTCCCCTTAGGAGGCCAAATTCATGTTCCTCCTACAACAGAAATATTTCAGAGGAAAATTCAAGAAGAAATTCAGAGGGGATTGAATTTAAAACTAGATACATTTTTGATGTTTGGATAGTACTGTAAATCAACTTCCCTGGGAGGCCAACTCTGAGGCAGATTCCAATGTATTTTAGGTTTATTGGAAATTCTCTCAGGAACATTCCTGCAAGGAGGGATGGAAGCAGAACTGGGGTTGAGCTGTGATGCAGGTGCAACAGGGAGCCCAGCCCATGCTGTGGGGAGCTCTGGAGCTGCACTGGCCCTTCATAGATGTCCCACATTAGACATCGGGCCTGGGCTATCTTATTCCCAGTTCACCATTCAGTGACTGGAGCTGTTCCTAGGAGGGTTTGTGATTTTGGAGGGAAATTCCTGGAGCTGGACTCAACTGTGAGCTGTTATTTGCCAACCTCCCAGCAGCTGGGGGGATGGAAACCTTGCTCTTTATGGAAGAACCTGGGCTACGCAAGACAGGATCCATTATAAGTAGGACAAGCCCCACTGGCTTCCTTAAAAAGGAGGGCCTAGATCAAGTTCTGAGCACCTTTCAATAAAAGTGATTCTGAAATGTAATGCAATTGCTACTTCCAAACAAAGGAGAGAGCTTTATTTTGCTTATTTACTGTAAGGAAAAATATAAATACACAAACACACACACAGACCCCATTCTGAATAGGAGCTGAGGAGCATAAGGATTCTGTGTTTGTTTTCAAATAAAGAAAATTGTTTCCCTTGTGTGTGTGTGTGTGTGTGTGTGTGTGTGTGTGTGTTTTAAGAAAGGTTAATACCTTAGCTTAGCTAAGTAATAGGTATGTTGCTAAAGTTGGTTCTAGATTTTCATTACATGCAAAAAGTTTATTAAATCTTTTTAACCTTTGGTGAGTTCATAAAGATGTGAGTTTAATGCATAAAATATTTTAGAAAGGAAATAAAATTCAGGATGTCTGTACTTCCTTAAATGTGCAATTAATCTAATGAAAAGATTGAAGAGAAACTATTTGACAATAGTTAATTGTCAAAAAAAGCAATATATAAAGGTATAAAATTTAAATCCAATTTATTTTCTAAGTTTGAATTTATAATGTGTGCATTGGAACATTGCAATTGTATATGCTACTGTGATCTTAGACAGTTAGACAGAAACATGGTACTGATATCTTAAAGTCATGCATTTATACTTTCCGCACTTAGATATGTGGGTTTCCATGAACATAAACTCCCTAAGAGTGGACATGTAGATCTCAGACACATGGCTTTGATCATAGAGTTGGAGTCTAAATGCCTTCTATATATATCTACACTACTGGTTGAGTTGAGAGAGAGAGGAATTTTCCACTTTCATTTTTTTAAGTCCTTAATTTCTCTCAGCAATGTTTTCCCATTTTTAGGATAAAGGTTGTGCATATCTTTTGTCAGCTCTATCTCTAGGTATTGCATAGTTTTATTTTTAATTATTACAGGTATATAACAGTTGTATATCTTTATAAGGTACATGTGACATTTTGATGTAGGCATACAATGTGAATTAATCATATCAGGATAATTTGGGTATCTGTCACCTCAGGCATTTATCATTTCTTTGTTAGAAACATTTCAATTCCACTCTTTCAGTTATTTTAAAATAGACTCCAGCTTATTGTTGTTTATAGTCACTTTATAGTACTATCAAATATTGTTCATTCTATCCAACTATATTTTTACACCCACTAAAATGAATTCACTGGACCATCTTTATGTACAAATTATTCTCATGTAACCCAGAAGAGTTTTTAAAATGTAAAGAAAAACTATTCCTCAACTTGCCCCCCTGATATCTGGTTCTATGTTTTTCCCTTAATATATTTGATAAGTCCCTCGGTAATTAGCCCAGAGATAATCCAGAATATAAAAACTGTCACACTAATTTGTGCCAGCAAATTATTATAGTCCTATATACTCACATACATTCTCTGAGCGCTGGAAACATCAATTAGTCAACACTCAACACTCTTGACTTCTACTTGAAGTTTAACTTAATGTGGATTCAAACCTAGGCTGCAGAAAAGTTTCACATAGTGAAAGTTTATTAAACTAACATTGGGTCTTTGAATACTTAAAATTTGTGGACTTCAGTGTTCTCATCAGTGTTTACATCACTCATCTCATCACTTCAGTGTTTACACTTCAGTGTAAAATGAGTTGGTTGGGTTTGAATCGGTTTGTCTTCAAGATTCCTTTTAATATAATATCTTAGATTAAACTGTGATTTCATCTGGACTTTAGATATGGTAGCACATGGCCTTGGAGCAGTAATCAAGATTCAGGGACAAAGCACAGTCTGACAAAAACATAACAGACCCCAACTTCTGAGACCCGATCTTGGCCAGAGTCTCAGGGACCTGACTCCCCAGGTGGAGGCCACGAAGAGACAGTAAACTGTATGCTGATAGCTTAACAATGCCCTTAAGTTCTAAAATTATGAGCATACCTTTTTGAAGTGCCCAATTTACTGTGTAAGAGCATCTTTACTTTTAAGGAAAATTTGATGTAGTGGTCTAATTTAAGGCACATGAATCAAAATTCCTTCTTTAACTTGAAAATGTCAGTTTTCACATCAATGACACCCTTTTAAAGAACGTTATTCCTGAGATTAAGATAAGGCATATTCTCTAATTATATTTGCGTGTTTTGCAGGGTTCATATCATTTCTAATTGGAAATTAGTTTACTTAAATTAACAAGATGTTCTATTTCTACACAAGAATAAACGTAGCCTGTAATGTTTCAACATTGGATGGAGAGATAACTCCCCTAATACCAAAATGACTTGACTTGCTCCTTTTTTTTAGGTCCTGTCACGACACAGCCAGCGCCCTGTGAAGCTGATCAATTTTCTTGTATCTACACACTCCAGTGTGTCCCTCTCTCAGGGAAGTGTAATGGACAGGAAGATTGCGTAGACGGGTCTGATGAAATGGATTGTTCTCTCAGCCCCTCTCCTGGGCTCTGTGGCAAAATGGAGTTCCGGTGCTCTACAAACGAGTGTATCCCATCCCTCCTGCTCTGTGACGGGGTGTCTGACTGTCACTTTAATGAAGATGAATCTAGCTGCTGTAAGTTATTTTCACTAACTTAGTGTGCCAGGGAAGGAATGCTGTTTTGAAATGATAGAGAGAGCTTGACAGATAAAACAAAGCTCTTTAGAGTCTCACCCTGATCGTATCATCAATAACAGTTTTTCTGTGTTGTGTTTGCTAAATAAAGCGTGTAGCCCTTACTTAGCATTTCTGGAAACACCTTGTTTGTGGTCACACTAATTTCTGTTGAACCTGTCTTACTTCCATTTTCCATTTGCATCTGAATCATTCATATGGAGGATGCTCTTATGTATTTATTATCTTTTTAGCACATGTTTATGGAAATGGTTTAAAATAGTATAATTATAATGTCTTCCCATCATAAAGGTTCATGAAGATGGCTCAAATAAAGGGCTATAGACAAATATCAATTTTAATGAATATATACAGTTAAGAGTTGGGTCTGTATAATTACCTAAGTAGATGTTACATCACTAAGAGTTCATGGAATAGAAAACTCTAAGGACATGGATTTGAATCTCATCCTTGCTATTTACTACCATTGCAATCTAGGGGAAATTATTTGAGTGCTACCAATTTTAGTACCATCACACATGTAATGAGGTCAATAATACCAAACATATAAGGCTGTGAGGTTTTGAGCAAATACATGTAAAACCCCAAGCCCTTCATTCAGTACCTTCTATTTTTATTATAACTAGCCAGCGTCAAATAGCGTAGGGAGAATGTTAGTTAAGAAGTAATTACATCCATGTTAAGGTGAGTACATCATCATGGTGGAGTCCAAACACCCCTAACATTTTATTTAATTTTTCTTTGCTTGACTGATTTTATGGTTTATTATACCATATTCTATTTCAGTGATGGGAGTCTGTAGAACATATGTTGATAATCACACATTTTTTTGAATAGTAAAAAGCAGTTTGGAATCTAACTATAAGAAGGGAACAGTTATTGAAAGAAATACAAGGCGATTTCAGGGTCCTATTTAGTATGAGCATCCAGAATTGTGAAAACTATTGGAAAAGGAATAAGGATGAATGAAAGAAAAGACAGGCAGCCGCTCGATGTTGAAAGGCATCAACCTTAAATCAGTGAAGATCTTTTCCTGGTTGGGGCTTACAGGTTGGTTTTCTCCCTCCCTGTTATTTCCTCCATGTATATGCTCTCTGTGATAAAGCCAACTTGTCAGGTCTAATAATAGTTTCTCAGAGGCAAGGTAAGCAAATGGAGGTGAATGGAGAAGAGGAGGCCTGCCAAATTACTTATCTCTGTTCCCATCAGGACTCTAATGTAATTTGGCTGATAGAAATCGTATTAAGTTCAATATAGTCATATGATATTTGGCTTCAAATAAGAATGCTATTTAAAGAGAAGCTTAGGAAAGTACTGTGTCCTTATCAGTTTAGGCATTCATTGGAAAATTGGAGTTTGACTGATCATATGAAGTTCTGCTCCTAAAGGGAAATAAGTCCTTGAAAGGAAAGGAATGGGGACAAAATGCTAGAGCAAAATTACAGAATACAAGAATTCAATAATCATGATCAACCAAAGATCGGAAGGCATAACATTATAGTTTTGGGGAAGCTCCCCTATTGATTTAGAACGGCATTTTGTAAATCCATATTTGTCCATTCATTCACAAACCTTCATTAAGAGCCCAACTGTGATCCCACATCTTGTACTGGACACTGATGATACAGATGGATGTCACCCTGTCCCAGCTCCAGCTGTAGATGTAGATACATTACTGAAGGAGACCAGTAAGTGAAGACTGGGGATACTATATGATCATTTCTATGACAGAGGTAAACACACAGTGTCTAGAGCACACAGGACACTCCCTAACTGTGGTGCTAGGGAGTCTGTACATTTAAACACTACAACCAAACTTGGAAAGGCAAGTAGTCACTAGACAAGTAAAGCAGAGATGCTTCATTCCAGTGAAGGTTGTTCCAGGAATAGGGAGCAAGGTGTTTGATTGAAGCGTAGTTTGTATTAGTAAGGCAGAGTCTGTGGCGAGAAATGTGGAAAGAATTCCGGAGACATAAGCAGAGACCAGGTTGTGCAGAGTCCTCAGCCACATGTCGGTGCTGCACAACTGTCCCCAAGTTGCCTATGGGATGGACTGGAGCGAGGAAGGGAGGTTGGTTGGGAGATGTTGCAGTTCAAATGAGAAGCAATTGATAAGATAAATGGTGTGAGGTAAAGATTATGAATAGGTTTAAGGGACAGTCAGGAAATGAGGAAGAGACAGGAATCGAGAATGCCTTCCAAGAGTCCTCCCACCTCGGCCTCACAGAGTGGTAGGATTACAGTCATGAGCCACTGCGCCCAGCCTGAAGTCAGTCTTTTTGAAGAACAAATGGGAAATGTCAAAGAGAGAAATCAATTGTAGAAAAATTCCAGAAGTTTTAATTGGAGTAGGATATAGGAAAAAAGAATAAATTTATTTGTTTTGGGTGGCTTACTCATATTTAAATGTTATCAGAATAAGAATTCTGAGATGCTTACAACTTTAGCAAGGGAATCAATAGCAATTGATATGTAGAGGCCTTTTATTATAGCAGAAATGAATTTTTTAGTGATCAAAAAGTTTAGACAAACCTATAAGTTCAACATTTTAAGGTAATTCATACCTAATAGCATCTTTCCATTGGAAACATGTTAATTTTTTTATAAACTGAAATGATATTTCTTTTATCTAAAATATCCCCTTTCCCTAAAAAAAAAAGAAATGAAAAAAATTAAGCATGATTAATTATTAGAACAATAGCATAAAACTAGGAACACTCTTTTCACTGATATTCCTCTGATAGCAATCTATTCACCAGGAAGGTTTAAAGATTTCATCAAATGTTGTGTCCATCAATTTCCTGGCAAGAAATAGATGGCACATTGATATTGCATAAGTTGATAATATATTAACAAGGTTGTTGTTTATTAGAGATATAATATGCATAGCAAAGCCAAAAGGGAAAATATGAGTGGAAGCTTTTATCAACCATACTCCATAGGGTATGAGAGGAGGGAACAGTTACCTGAACCTGGATTCAAAGAGGACCATTTGATAACAGGTGTGGCTTTGGTTAAGCCATGAACAGCTAGTCCATGCTCATCTCATAGAGTCTCTTCCCTCCATTTTAATCTGCTGGAATATCAACCAGGTATGCCTGTGTATACATATTCATTTTTAACAAATATCTATTTTTTCTTACAATAGTTGGAAGATTATTCTATTCCTTAGTTTGCTTGGTTTGCAATATAACTTATCTTCTCTATGTATACCCTAAAATGATTTAACTCTTTGGAAAAGCTGAAGATCAGCCTTCTCCTGGAAACATAGTCATTTTTATAATCTGATTTCAGTCTTGTTTTTTAGGTTTATCTTCTCTATATCCTTATCCCAAACCCCCTGCTGTTCTCACTGTTTCAATATGTAACTTACTGATTTTCTATCAGCTTTTCTCTACTCTGTTAAATGGCTTTTATCTTAAAATATTAAAATTTTGAATATATTTCAAGATTCTACTCTTTACTTCTAGCCTTTATAGATCTCCCTGCACGAAAGGAATTCTTATTTTTATAATACATATTAATAATGATGCTTTGCCAACTAAGTCTGACCTGATGTAATTTCTTTTATTATTACTTCAAACTGTTAATCACTCCTTTATTGATATCTTGTTGTCATTGTTGTATATATTCTGGTCATTCATTTTTAAAATTTCTCTTTGAACTCTCTACTCCAAGTTCTTAGCACTGTGTCTTCCATGCTATGGAAAATCAATAATATTTATTGGTATGAATTGATATTCTAGTACTTTAAGAAGAATTGCTCACTAAATGGTATTGCTTAAATTTTTCAGAGCTAGCAATTTCAGTCAATGAAGATACATATTCCTAAAAACACCACTTTTTATGTTCAACTTTAAAATATATTTTGATGGGCAGTTCTCACAGCTAAATGTGTCAACAACCTATGATACCTCAAATAAACAATTCCTTCCAACCTGTAATTATGCTTAAAGAAAAGAATAATTTATGACAGAACTGACAAAATCTGTACAAGACCTATACGTGGGGATATATATTCCTGGGTTTTCTAAATTATCAGTTTACCTTGAAAAGGTTGCAATTTAATTGTCTTTATTCTTTTGCAAGGAATTTTTCAGACCAATCCTTTGGTAGCAGGTCTGGAGTAAAATTTTCAAATAAGAAATTGTATATCGTACCATTAAGTACATGAGATGAAAACAGAGCTGTTCTTTCTGAACCTGGGTTAAGTGCCAGACAGCTCTGACTGCCCACTGCTGCCTTCCACATAGCTCTGCTGAACTCTGGGACTCAGAGGGGCAGGGTTAGGAACAAGTATAGATCAATATCATTATTATTTAGTGCTTTTGAAATCTATCCAGACTTTCTGACAAAATAGTGCAGTGAGTTCACGCTTTGACACATTCCCTCTGCTCCAGAAATGTAACAATACTAGATAAATAAGCCATCACAGAAAGAAGTGCAAAGACAAGATAAACATCTACCGACAACATGGACCAAAACCAGAGTAGAACCAGAAAGTAGAGATCAGGCCTGAACGCCAGGCCTGCTGGCCTGCAGTTCCTGAAACAAGCAGAAGAACAGAAAGTAAACATGCTTCACATGTGACAGCAGCCTCAAATGAGGGGTCTTTATTCAACCCTAATTCGTTGAACCAATGTAAATGATAGCCTACGGCTTTATAGGAAGGTGTAATTCTAAAGAGACTAAAAAACAGGAAGGGAGAATGCAAGAATGCAGTCTTGGGACTAAGAACCGAGCTTCCCGATGGACAAAGCATTTATAATTGAATTAATCAAGAGTCTCATTCAAGGAAGGTAGAATACTTTGCAGGACTAGATAGCCATTGAATAGTTGCCAGTGCCAATAAAGACATTTTTCTGAAACAACCAAAATCTTGTGAGCAATAGCATCTCTATCCTATTAATATGCTCATCCCTTGAAGTCAGGTCAAACTCCATGTGTAGCCCCAAGAAGAGACTCTGGAGTTACTATAATTCCTCCATGACAATGTTATAAAGACTCATCATCACAGTACATTGAGCTTCCATGACCTACATCATCATGCAGATCTAGCTGGTACCCAGTGACCACCCATAAATTATATACCCTGGGTGGAAGTTAAAGCAAGTTGCAATCTCTATCAGTTTAATTGCACATAAGATCAGGGACATTAAGAGAGAGTGACAGAAGTACAGAAGCATCTGCCTTGAAGTAAAAGTTGACTCCTCATCTAAAATAAATTCAGACTCTAAGTACATACAATGCATTTGATTACGTGTATAATACTACATAATGCATATATTAGTCAGCATGGGCTGCCATAACAAAAGACCACAAACTGAGTGGCTTAAACAACAGATATTTAGTCTCTCACAGTTCTGGAGGCTAGAAGTCCAAGATCAAGGTGTTAGCGGGTTTGGTGTATCCTCGGGCCTCTCTCCTCAGCTTATAAATGGCTGCCTTCATGCTGTGTCCTCCAGGGCCTCTCCCCTGGGCAAGAGCATTCCTGATGGCTCGCCCTTCTAGGGCATTGGTCATATTGGCCTAAGGCCTTACCTCGACGACCTCCCTTAACCTTTGTTACCTTCCTGAAGTCCCTATCTCTAAATACAGTCCTAATGTGGGTTAGGGCTTCAACACATGCATTTGCAGAGGGAACACAATTCACTCCATAAGAATGCACAGCTGAGAAATGGTTCTACTGACAAACCTTTTTTGAAGGAAATTTCAAATTGATAAGTCTCCTAAAATATAGGACTAGAAAGAAAGTGTAATGCAATAAACTCTCTTGATATTTCACTAGGATAAATTTATTGGAAAAAAAAAGACATACTTGCAACCATGATGATGATTCTTTTTTTCAGCCAACAAGAGCTGTTCTAATGGAGCTCTGGTGTGTACTTCCTCGAACAGCTGTGTCCCAGCTCACCAGCGCTGTGATGGTTTTGCTGACTGCATGGATTTGCAGCTTGATGAGTCTAGCTGCTCAGGTACTCCATTTCCATTCAGATATTCTTTAAAGTAGAAACCACTCACTTAACCTGAAAAGAATAAAAAATATTAAAAGTTGAGATTCCAAGTAATGGCAAGCATGGAATAATTGCATTTCTATATTGATTCAGGGACAGGAAGAATGTTGAGTTTGCTACATTTATTTAAAAAAGTATAAGCCTGTAATATAATGGGCCCATGCTTGTTCTATAATATTTAATAAAGAAAAATAAAACATGTAATTTTAATATATAATTTAATATTTTAGCATTTAATAATCTCTTCTATGAAAATTATTTGGTTTCTATAATAAGGAAACCCTATATAATCTAATGTAATTAATTTTTAAAAGTTGCAGTCATCTTATTTCCACTTCTTTATAAGAGTTTCTTATTTGCATGATCTAGTCATGTTTTTAAAAGTAAATTTATTAAACTTTGGATTGACTTTTGAACGTTTTTCTTTCTTCTGATCCTGGAACATTTATACAGTGTAAGAGCAGATAGTGTAAATCTGTGATTATACTTTTATCAAAACTGCTTTAAAATTCTTTGATTTATTGTAGTCCATTGTTAACATCTTTCCTAAGTAATTGAATTTTTATTTCATACAGGCAATATATAAAATAATAGATTGTTAGGGGCAATATAATTCTGTCACAACTAAAAGATAATATAAATTAATGATGAAAGATATATTCAATCAGATTTTCTAAATAAATTGGAAATATTTTATATCAAAACTAGGTAAGAATATACTCTTTGTATCTTTCAAGAGAGGAGAACATTATGAGATAAGTGAGAAAAGGATGATCATAATCAAATGATAGTGTAAAAAGACTTATTTTTTATACTTCTGAAAGTGAGTATAGAACTGAATTTTATGAGTACAAAAGGAAATGGAGAAGTGAGCAGATCTGGCCCCATAAAATATGCAAAGATGAATGAATGCTTTTTGCCATTATTTCTCCAGTAGGAATGCTTGTGCTTCAAGTAAGGAACCCAAAGGGAAATACTGTTAATCTCTTTATAGAGAGAGAAAAAAAGCTGTTCATGAGATAGTTCCATTCTTTGAAACTATTGAGATGCAGTATTTACATCCAGGACCCAAATTTATTTATATAATGGAGACATTTTCTATTATAACATGTTATCATTTTAGTGTCTGCTTTGACATGGTCTACCTTTAAAAATGGGGTCAGGAAAACAGAAGACTTATCATTCATACTGAGTAATAGACAACCTGTAAGTAACACTGTATAACACACTTTTTTTGTTCTGTTTCTTAGTTGGTCGACAATTAGTTACAGTTCACTTACAAAGTATAGGTCAAATTGACACAGCTATTGAGTTAGAATAAAAGAAAAAAACTAGTGAAACACAGTTTTCAGAAATAAAATCTATATTATATGTTTTCTCTATTTACATTTTTTTTTGCTTTTTTGGCTTGTCAATCAAATATGATAAAGTTAATCTTCTGTTTTTAAGAATGCCTTTAAGTCTAATCCATGCTAAAGATTTGTCAGTGTACATTACACACTCCTCATTCTTTGCAAGCATCATGTTCTTTTAAGGTCAGCATTTCATAGACTTTTATAAGCCCAATCCTTACAACATCCAATAATTCCCCTAGTGGTCACACAACAGATGGTGAGCATCTGGCTTCACTTACCCCAAGGTTTAAGTCATTAACAAGAACATCAAGCCCAGGCACTGCTTAAATGTTGCAGGTTAAGTTTATATCAGTGAATCCTGTCCAGTCCCAAGTTATATTGGAAAAGCATATTATTTTCTAGTTTTGGTTGCATAAACAACAAAGAAATTATTGACCAGTATTTGTCTGGCTGAATTTAAACTGAAAGTGTTTTTCAAGTCATTTGCAGTACTAGAGGTGAATTATGAAAAGGCACTAAAAATATAACATTGTAGGATAGGACATGAACATAATAATATATGCATACTGATGATGGTGATGATGATGAAGACCAGTTCCTCAAACACACGGCACCCTCTTCTCGGCCTCTGGGTCTCTGTGTTTACCTTTCCACATACACACTACTGTCCAAATAAATGGCTACTGATTCTCTTCCAGAGGATTTCCTTACTCCCCAAATCTGACTGCGGTGTTCTTCTTGGTGCTCCCATCGCCTTTGGTACACCCATCCTATTAGATGACTGTCATACCGCATCTTAATGCCCTACTTACTTTCTTTGCATCTGGAAGGTCAGCGAGAACAGGGACTGTGTGTATGTACCCTTTTAAAGTCAGTGTTCATTAAACTCATACTCTGAGCCAATTGTTCTTCTAACATTCTCAAAAACCCTATGACATAGTTATTATTTTTAACCTTGTTTTACAGAAAGGAACCTGAGGCACAGAAAGATTAACTACCTCACCCAATATTACACTGCTGACAAGTGGCTGAGATTCCAACTCAGGCAATCTGGCTCCAGTGGCCCCAGCCCTCACAATTATGTTGAGCTGCCTGCATTCTAATTAATCACCTTTCCAGTGCCTAGCCCAGTGCCAGACATTTAATAGGTGCTCAGAATAGATTTGTTGAATCAAGTATTGGAATTGCAAGAACCCATAAGGGAGGAATGGGATCCTGTAAGAAAGGAGGTGTCAAATTATACCCTTTAAATATGTGCATTGCTATGTGTCAATTAAAAAAAAAAAAAAGCCAGGAAGAGCAAGTTGGGCCTTAAGTGAAGAGGGAAATTGGCAGGCTTTCCTGGGTCAGGACTATTTCCTGAGGGTGCAAGGAAGCAGTATATAGGAACACAATGAGAAGCTAAATGTGCTAATCCTTCCACAGTACTCACTCTGTGAATATACTCAGCTTCTCTTAACCTATAAGTAAACCAACTCTGAAAATAAATGCTCATGCTAAACTAGAACTAGGGAGCAACGCAAGCAGTGAAATTACAGGACTGGGGCAGGAGAGACAAACCTGAGCTTTGATGACATCAGTCACAGAGGCAGAGGTAGGAAACAGGCATGCACACGAGTGACTTATTAAAAAGACAAGGCCACCCAGGGAGGGCATTTGTCTGCCCTGATATGGGGACTGTTGTGCAGAACTAAAGAAAAGAAACATTTCACTAAACAAAATGTTTCAGTGTAATTACAAATACATCACACAGGCAAATTCTAAATAAGTGTATTGCACCTAATCAAGTGGAGAAGTTTAGTGTTCTATAGCACTGTAGGATGACTACAGTTAACAATAATGTATACAGTTTCAAATACCTAGAAGAAGAACACTGAATGTTACCAATACAAAGAAATGATAAATGTTCGAGATGGTAGATATTACCCCGGTCTGATCCTATACATTATATGTATAGAAACATCACTATGTACTCCATACATGTGTATAATTATTATGCTGGTTAAAAAAAAAAGAAAATAAAAATTCAAAAAATTAATTTAAAAATTAAAACAATAAATAAAATAAATTTCAGAGTTTTCTCTTTTTGTGGAACACTCATATCCAGGACAGTAGGAGCCACTGAGCAAACTTTGGGGGTTACAAGAAAGTAGTCTAGGAGAATTCTTTTGCTTTTAGCAACTGGGAAGCAATTAACTCAACAGAGATTGGATTTAATGCAGTGACTCACAGTGATATATCCTCCTTCCTGCAAATAATGCTGATAATTAACTGTGGTCTTTGTGATGCTTCTTTATAGAGTGTCCATTAAACTACTGCAGAAATGGAGGGACTTGTGTGGTGGAGAAAAATGGTCCTATGTGTCGGTAAGCAGCATTGTCTGTTTTTCTTAACATTTATTGCAGCTGGCTTACTTATTTTTCTTGAGGTTGATATAATAGAACATCAATCAATACATGGTTATTAAGGTAAAATAGTGGATAATAGCAGCATTGGCATTTATCTGTGAATAAGAAAAAGGAAGATGTGACTGTATTTTTAAAAATCAATTATTTAATATGCTTTTGAATGTTTTTCAACATTTTGTATGATGTGGGATATATAGTTTTAATAATACTCATTATTCCTTGCTTTTAATATTTATATCAAGTTTTCAAAATATTTTTTTGATATGGATATTCTTCTATTTCAGATGAACTTTGTGTCTGTATTTTCTTTCTCTCTTTTTCAATTTCTGTATTTCTCTTTTCTGACAACAAAGGATAAAACTAATTCATAAATCAGACCATTTTCTGGCTTATGCAGTGGTTGTTTATGAGTAAAGTTAAGGTACAGATAAGGAATACATTTGCATACTCAAAGCAAGAATAAACAAAAACAGGCCTTGTGATTTCTTTTGGGAATTATTTATATTGCATATCAAAGATTGCTTGACTTTTTCTCTCACCCTTTAGGGAATTGTGCAAAACAGTTTCATAAACTCCAAAGGAAATGATGCATATTCCATTATGTTTTTGTTTATGATTTTTTAATCTAGCAGACCAATGGATACATCACTTTGCTTATTAGAAATCTGATTGAAGGCTGATGCTCAAGTTGTAACAAAACACACATAAATATCTGGAAAACAGTAATTAATAGCTTTTTAAATCATTATATCCTTCTGAATCAACATAGACAGTTTAGAAAAAGTAATGTATTCCTTAAAAAATAAAAATAAAACCTCAACCAATTAAATCAATAATAAAAATTTTATGATGGGATATATTTAGACACTACTTTAACATTGTCACAATTTAATTACCAATGTGTTTCTCAGCGTTTTGTCTCTTGAATGCATTACCTAATTTCTTTCACAACATCTCAACAAGATTATACTTTCCCCCATATTGGTTTCCATGGAAATTAATTTATTATGAACTATTATTTGAAGGAAAGACAGGATGCATAATATGAATTTTTTAAATCTCCTGAAAGAAACTGAGAATGATGCCATCCATAATGTTTACCCAATATCAGCTGAGTGGATAATGTTATTTGGTGTCCACTCTAAATAAGGAGGTGTGAATTTTTTTCCTCTTTAGCACTGATACTCAGGCCAGAAAAAGCTCCTAGGCTTCAGATAGTCTCAGCTGACCAAGCAAAGAGCGTTGCATTCTTGGCAACACCTTTGTGGACTTAAATAAACTTCAAAAATTGAAATCCAGATGATGAAGTCCTAAACTTGTTTCTCTCAAATGTGAAAATTCTAAGGTGGAGGAGAAGGTGGAACAGGGCATTGAAAGGAGGACAGACTTAAGAAAGGAAATCAATGGAGTGAAATATAGAAAAGAAGTCACTCCCAGGAAAGTCAATCACATATCCCAAAATAATTATTTTTGATAGCAAAGAACACTTTTCACAGAGAGAAATAATTATAATGAGCATCAATATAAACAAATGTTTGGAATTAGCGCTGTCTACACTGTAGGTATGAAAAAATGACTTTTGAAACATTTTCCATGCTATAACATGGCAGTCTCTTCATTCTAATTTTTATTTTTTTTAAATTATCCATTGCAAAAGTTAATATATGTGTTTTCTAATAAAAAATTTTAAAACATACACTAGTATATCAGGCAAAAAGTAGAGCTCCTGACACTCAAATCCTATTCTGTAGTTGTATCTTTTTATCCATTTAGACATATTTTTCCTTTCACAAACACATGTTCACACACAAGCACACATTTGTTTTTACAGAAATATAAATTATACTTTACATATCACTTTGCACCTTGGTAGTTTTTTTCTCTTCATGAATAGTGTGGCCGTTCTTCTATGTCGGTACTTGTGGCTCTAGATCCACCCTTTACTGGTTCAGTAGTATTGGGTAAGTTCCTTTAACAGGCCTGTGTTTTAACTTCTTCTTCAATAAAATGGAGAAAATAAAAGCACCTACTTTGTGGGGTAGTTTGAGGTTTAAAGGATTTAATATACACAAAACACTCTGAACAGTACCTGACATGTTAAAGATATTAGAGGAATGCTAGTTATCGGTATTATTATTTAATATATGATTCTTTTTTATGCTGTGTAGTATACTAGTCAATGTATGGATTTGTCATAATTTAACTCCATTAATATCAAGCTAATGGCCATTTAGTTCTTAAATATTTGCTTTCACAAATAATCTTCAAATCCCATCCTTTCGTGTATCTTTGCCCCATTCCTTATTTTAAGCATAACATGTTTTAATGGAATACCAAATAGCAATGTAAATTATTTTCAATTACACTTAATGTCAAATCAATTTCCAATTAAAGTTAATGTCCAGTTCATTTTTCATGTATAGGTATGCTTTTTGAATTTAAAATTAAACGGAAACTTCACTTTAGAATACAAAGTTTTAGAGTAACTATAGGGGCACTGTTTAAAGGTGGTGGCTTTATGTCAAGCTCTACTTTCTAATTCCCAAGAGTGGGAATTCATTGTCCTTGTCACCTGGGGATAACAAAAGAACCAAGGGGAGAACACCAAAGCTCACCTCTCATCAAGGCCATACTCATATGAGCATATAAAAATGTCATGGTTATCTGGAGAGGACCTGTCACCAAAGCCTTGAGATCTCCCTTTGGGAAAGGACCTCCAGGCAGTATCTGAAGATCTCTCTCCCAGAACAGAGAGATTTAATGTGAAAGTCATTGTGTTGCTAGGAATTATAACTACCCAAGGAGTAGAAACCAGGTGAACCATGGTTTTCCATCACTTGAGAAACACTGACAGAGTTAGTGTTTAGGGGTTGAAGGAGCAAAGTATGAGCCAAGAAAAGGAAAGTATCTCTCACCTAAGGAAGCTAGATTATTATATTATTCCAATGTATCAATATGTCTGTTAGAAAAATAGACTGAGCTATGTGATATAAATTCCAAATAATATGGGAAGCCAGAAAGAAGTAGCAAGAAAGAAAAGAAACTTAATCAAGTCAACATGGGCGAAGGAGAGAATTAGGAAGCAGCATCAAAGGCAATACACAGTAACATGTAGATAGAAAGAATAAATACAAATATATCAACAATCACAACAAGTGTGAAAATAAAGTCAATCAAAACACAGAAGCCATCAAATTTGACTTAAAATTAAAGGGACTACACAAGGTTTTTCAAAAACCCTTTTGGGGAGTATGTGGACAAAAATTTTAAAGACCATGGTCCTAGAATATAAAAGTCCTGTCTTCAATATCTTTTCATGACCAGTACCTGATACACACTTGACATCGTAAGAGCTATTTGAATAACGTTCTGACAAAAGAATGAATGAATGAATGCAAAGAAAAGGTCCTGAAATTTCAAGGAAAAGTATCAATACTTGCAAATATGTTCTTAAATTTACTGAAATATGTGCAAATCTTGCCATAACCCAAACTACCAATCACAAAGGAACCCTTGGGGACTTTCTATGTATGGGGTAATAAGTGCATTGAGTAAGCATATGATATGTTCCTCATACTAAAAAAATATTACTCTCCAGTTTATAGGACAGAAGAGCTATCAAAAAAAAATGTCATCTACTAAAGAAATTTCACTCTGCTACAATGAAAAGAGAATTTGCTCTTAAGTTAGGAATCATGTAAACTACCTCAAATGCCTAACCATGATTAAAGAGGCAAATAAAATTTATACAATGTATACCAAGACTTTGTTAAAAATCTAGCTTATGAATACTTTTCCTCCCCCCACCAAAAAACAACAAAGAAACATGGTACAAAAAAGAAAATATTTCAAGACCCTGAACTCCAATTCCAAACTGAATTATATATTGTTTTAAAAAAAATGTATTTGAGGATATTTGAACACACACACACAACACCTTAATTCTGAAATGCAAAGTCTAAGTACAAATAGGCAATAAAACAGTAAGAATCCATAGAACCCAAGGAAAGAAATTGATTGAAGCAGTTTAATTGATTAAACTCAAAAAAGGAATGAAATTTAAAAAAAAATAATTATTAAATTACAATTTTCCAAGGGATAATAGATTCAAATATAAATATATTAAGAGATTTTAAACCCAGGTATAAAAGTAACCAAGGAAATGAAAATGAGATATAGTAAAAAAAGTAAAAGAGAAAGTAGTTAACATGTAAGACAAGAATATGCATATAACTGGAGTCCCTACAGAGACAAATGAAACAATGGAACAGAACAAATATTTAAAACTATAATCAAAGAAAACTTTTTCAGAGGTGAAAGGAGACCTGAATTTACAAATTAAAAGAATCAACAAGTATCTAGGGAATTTGACACAAAATCAGCAACTCCAATACATATCCCTCGTAAAAATATTAGACTTTAAGATGATGAAAATATATCCTCATGACCTGTAGGGAAAAAGAACAAATAACACACAAGTACAGTAAGATTAGTGTGGCATTAGGCTTCTAAAAGCAAAGAAACAAAAAAGCGTAATGTGATTGTCTGCAGAGTTGTGAAAAAGTCTTTGATAAAATTTAATAGCCATTCTTGATTTTTTAAAAGGAGGTACAAAGGAAAATATGAACCAACAGACACTTCCTTATTATGATAAAATATATGCCTTTTATTTCTAAATGCAACATCTTTCTTAAAAGAGAATCAAATCACAAAAAGCACTTCCATTAAAAGTAGGGACAAGGCAAGCATAACCACTGGTTTCACTGATATTAGAAGTGGTCACCAACATAATTTGAGGAAAAAAAAAACAATTTATAAGAATTAGAGAAGAAGTTATTATCATGATAGTATACCTAGAAAACCCTAGAGAATCAATGATAAAAACTAATTCAAATAATAAAAACAATTCAGTGAGTGAGGTTGGAGGATATACAATTAACATTTTAAATTAATGCTTG